TCTTCTCTGACAATCTTGTAGTCATTCAATGTTTTAAAGAATGCTATAAAAAAATAGCATGTCAACCTAAAATCAGTCTTAGTGCATCCATAGTCTAGATAAATTATCCAACTCTAAATCATTTTTACTCACCTGTATTTATGTTGATAAAAGTGTTGCTATCAGAAAAAGTCTACATAATTCAATTTCCAATCTTGTCGCTACTATATCTGATCCTTGGCTGCTTACTGAAGATTTTAATTGTAGAAGCAAATTGAAAGAGAAATTGGTGGCTCTCCAATTACTAGTAAGTTGTTTGATCTTAATGCTTGCATGTATAATAAAGATCTTCATGATCTTCCATCTTCATTCTAGAGAGTAGATCTCTAACTCAGCATGAATCTGATCAACTCATTGGGGATTATTCTAAAGAGAACATCAAAGCAAATTTCTTTCAAATTGGAATTGACAAACTTCTTGGATCGGATGGGTTGAATTCTAAAATTTTCAGAGATGCATTGAATATCATTGGTAATGATTGTATTAAAGCTATTAAACATTTTTTTATGTCCACTAAACTACCTAAAAGAGTCAAGCATATTTCCTTTGACAATTATCCCCCAAAACTAGGTTATCCAAACTCTCAATGAGCTCATACCTATATCACTTTGTAATATCATCTACAAGGTCATAATTAAACTTATTACGACGACACTAAAAAACATTCTTCCTAACCTCATTCACCCCTCCCATGTTGCCTTTGTTGATCACAGGGATATTTTTGATGGTATAACTCTTGCTAATCATCTCTTGCTTGGATTCAACTCCACCAACCATCCCTTTGTTGATCACAGGGATATTTTTGATGGTATAATCATCTCTTGCATGGATTCAACTCCACCAACCATATTCTAAGCTTTTTCTCCAAGATTGATATTAAAAAAGCTTTTTTTTCCACATTCATTATAGATTGGAAAGACTGGGCTTTCCACTAAAGTTTATTAAGTGGATAAAATCTTGCATGACTCAAGTCCTTTTTTTGTCATTATCAACAGTGAATTGCAAGAAAACATCCTCTCTACATTTGGCCTTAGGCAAGACTACACCTTATCCCCATATCTCTTCATTGTGGCTAAGGGTGATTTTTCTAAACTACTTGATCATATAAAAAACCATCTTCAATATGATTGATGCAAATCTGAAAATCAATCGTCTCATCCATGCTGATGACCTCCTCTTTTTGGCAAGTCCTCTACCGTTGAGGCTACTTATTTGGCTAATACTTTAAATACTTATTATGAAGTTTTAAATCTTCATATCAACACTTGTAAATCCACTATCTACTTCTCTAAATCAGTTAGTGACACTCTTAAACATCAGTGCAACAATATCTTAGGATTCTAGGTGAAAGCGTCCTCATGGCATTATTTAGGGATCACCATAAACTCTTCTATGCTTAATAGTATTACTTGTCATTATCTTTTGGAAAATGTCAACCACTATTTGACCAGATAGAAGAAAAAACTATCAAGCTTCTCAGTCATGCTTAAACTTGTTAAATCCACAATTTGGAATTTTTGAAATTTTTTAGTTCAAATCTACTTGCATTTCTAAGATTACAAAAATGCATCTCTTATTTAATGAACAGCTTTCTTCACCAGCACAACTCTTCTAGCACTATGCATATTATTGTCTGACATTGTACTACAATGCATAGGTCATTAGCTGGACCAAACATTCCTAATTTAGAAAATGTTAACCTTATATGAAAAGTTAAAATCATTTGGAGAATTTATCATGAAAACTCCATTCTTTTCAATTGGTGTGATTTGAAAATTGGCTCTTTTTAATATACAATGAGAAGAAATTATTCTTTCCTTGGGAAGGGATTTCTGCAAACCAAAGCTAGAATAAGTGAATGTCTTACTCTTCATTTTAATGAAGAAAATAAGCTCTCTCTTTTTTTTATCCTTTGGTAAGAGAGCTCTTTCCTTCTTGAGAAGTATGGAGAAAAAGTTTTATCTCTGATCAATTGCATTAAAAACACTAGAACTGCTAATTTCATTCAAGGTGGCTGCTGGAATCTCCCCACCTCACAAAACATTCTTGCAAATTGTATTCAGTCAATTACAAATATACCCATAGAAGAAGATGGACCTAATGGTCTTTATTTCAATAAGTAATTCTTTTCTCACAAGAAAAATTACCCTTTCCCTTATAAAAGCTTCAATGAGATTTCTTGGCATAAATTTATATGGTTTAAAGGTTACCCCTTTAAATATGCTTCTTTTTTGTGGAAAATCTTTAGTAGGGTGCTTCAAAAAAGGCATATTCTAAATGCAAGAGGTATTCTATCCTCTAAGGATTGTGTTTTGTGCCAATCTGAGCATGAAATTCATACACATTTATTTTTTTAAATGTCATTTTACTTTTTCCTTTTCTTACAAGCAACATTCCATGTAGAATTTTTTTTTCATTTCGGAGGATCAACAAATCATATCTTATTCTGATAATATTCATTCTAAAATGTCAAATATTTTTTTGCTACTTATTATCCACATTACATCTTATTACATTTGACTAGAAAGAACTTTTAGAATCTTTAGGAATTACTCTGTATTAAAGGAAACTATAATATATAAAATCAAACTAACCATTTAAAAAAAATTCAAAGATGAAAATATAGGGATAGAATCCCTGATAGCATTAAAAATCTTTTTTCTCTTATGAGTTGTGCTATTTTGGTGTCTGTTTGCTCTTTTGTTCATTACATTGGTTATGATTTATGTAATACAACACTCCTTGGGTCTACTTTATCTTTTTATTTTTACTATGTTGTTACAAGGAGAAGTTTTTATATGTTTTGGTTTGGAGAGATGCTGCCCCCCAGGCCATGTTGGAATTGTAAAGTTGGAAAACTTACTAGTATACTCTTGTGTTGGTTGCTGCATTTTGATTTGGGGCCTGTTTTATCTTTGCTTTAATTTGTTGTTACAATGTGAGATTTTTATATGTTTTTGTTTGAAGAGATGCTACCTCACAGGCTATGCTGGAATGGTTTAGATGGAAGACTTATTAGTATACTCTTATGTTAGCTGCTGCATTTTGATATTCTCTTATGCTAAGAGGGGCCTTTGTATGCGACCTTTTGTCTTCGAGTGGTTTTGCATCTGGAGTGGTCCCATGCAGATGGATTTTAACCAGCTTTCCTAAGATGGAAATACTTATCGTTGCAGGTCTAATTAAAGATTTTTTGGAACGATTAGAACCTTCACTGAGGGCTCAACCGTTTTTTGAGCCAATGGTGCTCTGCTTACTATCTTTGATTCTGATACTACACATCGCTAGATGCCTTTCTAGTGTTTCTCATGCCATGAAATCTGCCTCTCCCAGCTAGGATGGAGCATATGCTTAGACATTTATTGTTTTATTCTGAGCCCTTAACCCTTATTTTATTTTTATTCTACTTTGATTCTCTTTTCATTATTTTACACTACTTTTATCTTTTTTCTTCATGAGTTCATGAATGGTTTGCTCTCTTTTGGCCTTATGTAATATTTTATTTATATTAAAGAAATTCTAGGTGTCATTATTTTTCCCAAAAAAAAGAGGACATTTCAGCCCAACTGATTCTAATTGGGCCTAGCATTATTAAAGGTTTGATAATGAGCCGATCTAACTCCAGCTTATTATAAGGTTCAAAGTCATCCTATCTTATCTTGAGTTTTATCAAGTTTGAATAAAGTTATATATATATATATATATATTGTTATGAAGAACGGTTAGAGGCTATGATATGAGCCCCCAACCAACTTCATGTGTCTAATCACTTGACTGATCCGCACATAAGCTAGCATGTAAAATTACAAACAAAAAGCACATTTACAGAAAAACAAAAATTGCATTAAGCTTGCACACAGCCGAGAGCTTATTTATGCTAAGAAGAACTTAGAGGACATGGAAAGACAGGCAATCACAACTGCTGCAATAGAAAAGACAATAGGAAGTGATATAGGCTTCAAGAAGCTTCCCGCAGAATCTCCGCCGTTAGAATTGCCTCCACCTCCACCAGGAGGAGAAACGAACGGTGATGGCACGGCTGTTGCTGCAATGGCAATTTAATGAGCATTCAATATTTACCAGCATGAATGAGTTTAGGGAATTAATTTGACATTGTTATCGACCAAAGCTATAAAAGAGCTCCTGCAGAATATCATACATCATTTTAACACTTTTCTCTCAGTTTTAACTAAGCTGCTTGCAATGTGGCCAAGCTGAGCTCCACTCTCATTTTTCCTGCACTATCAGATGCTTAATCATTTTACTTCATGATCTATGTATTTATTTTCTTAATTTTTAGATAAAACTTTGTGTTTTACTTCATGTATTTATTGATTTATTTATTGAAACAGAGGAATTTATTAGATCCTATTGTTTAGAGGGAATTTTTGGAAATAATTAATTTATCTTCCTATTTTAAAATTTTTTTGGCTCAGCCACCGCTCTCAACTAGATTAATCATCGATGTTCTGTAACTTGGCGGAACCGGTCTCTTTTTGTAGGGGGCAAACTGCCCTTTTATTAGACTAAACGTGGGAGGCTAGAACAATGAAAGATAAAATAATATTTCAGAAGGGGCAAAATGTCAAATTTCACAATTATATATATAAGTAAAAATCTAAATTTGAAGGGGGCAATTGCCCCCCTCGGACCCTACTTGGGTCTACCCTTATGACTATAAGAATCCCTTCACCGAAATGAGAAAAGATTGCATCCGGATAGAGTAGGTACAACTGGTGGTATTCATTGTAGCATTTTGGTATTATTACACCCCAACACCACAAAAAAAAACCACCATTAGCACCTAATTCGGATGCAGCTCATCCAAATGTAATAATTTCTCCACGCAAACCCCATCAAATTCCTCACAAATTTAACCAAAACAAAAAAAAAACCTTCCTAAATTTATAAAACTACTAAATCTGAATAAAGTCAAATGAAATCCAATGAGAAAGTTTCAGCATATTACCGTTGCATCGACTGACCGGCGGAGTCTGAACTTTACATTCATCTGGAAGAGCTAAAGCCCTGGTCTGGTTTACTTTAATCCCAAACTGAGAACCTCCGCCATTAACGATCATGCACAAGCAAACAGGCTCTGTGTTGACCACTGTCGCAAACTTCAAGCAGCACTGAGCAGTAGGTGCTGGGCTGCTGCCTGTAATATAGTCTGTGCATGGCTCAAGGCTCACTATTGCAGCCACGCAGTCTTCTTCTCCACGAGAGTTTTCTATGGAGAGGAGACTTATGGCGATGATGATGATGGCTATGGCTGCTCTGCTTGTTCTTCGATCCATTGTGTTCTGAGATTGCTGGGGATGGAAATTTGGCTTTTTATAGGAGATTTGGATCTGTATGACGCGCTTAAAATCATAGTGATGTTATGAAGGAGAATTATGTACGGCATTTTGGGGGTCCGTATGGGGCAGCTTGTGCGTTTCAGGATAAGTAGTTTATCGTGAAACGCGGTCTGAGTTTAATGTAAAAATGAAACCGTGTTTTCGGATAAGCGGGTAAAACGCGCTATCTAAACAGTACCGCGACGTTTTAAAAAACGCCCCCACACTTATAAGCTGCCCGATGTATTTACATATCTAACACCTACAATTTACCTTTTTTTAAGTTTAATCTCACCAAAAAAACATCACTAATTTAAGTTATAGAAGTGAAATACATATTTTGATGCCTTGGTAAAGTGACTTAATACGTATAAATTGAAGTTTAGGTGTTAGATAAATACACAAGAATTGAGGGGGGTGTTATACATAAATAATCATAAAATTAAATCATTGGAAAATGAGGATAATAGGCTATCATTGTTCTTTCATAAATCATTTGGCCTTATATATCTCATACCTAAATCTTGATATTTCAGCCAAAAAAAAAAAAAAAAAAAAAATTATGACTCAACATATTAAGATTTATGCATATAATTTGTGTATTTTATTTCAAATAAATTCAATATTAGTGATATTTTTATGTATTTCATTTTTCATGTCAGTAAAGCTCCAGATTTGCTTTGCACGTTGCTTACATATTTTTAATGAGTCTTTTTGGCATTTTGTTTGGGCGACAAAAGCGTACGTAGGCTTCCATATAATAAAAACAATAATAATAATATTATTATTATTATTATTTAATATTTTTAGGCGTATTTAATCTAAGGATAACATTCTAAATAGGGTGTAAACGAGCCGAACACGAGCGAGGCTCGTTTAGATTTCGAGCTCAAAAACTGTGTTCGTGTTCGACTCATTTGCTTAACGTGTCGAACACGAGCTGTTCACGAACAAAGAGTCATTTGAACGACCCTAATCATGTCGCCATAAGATAATAAGAGTTTGAGCAAGATGTAAACATTATTATTTATATTAAAACATCATTTGAATCTAATTTAATAATTTTTATTTTATTTTCTTAATCAATATTTTAATTGATTATAAATCTTTGTAGCCTTGTAGTCAATTAGATTTTTTTAAAATACTACTTTATTTATATATATATAAACTTGATGTGTAGTATTTCAAGCCAAAACGAGCCGAACACGAACGAACACATCTTAGTTCGTGTTCGGCTCGTTAACTTATCAAACGAAATTAAAGAGCCGAACACGAGCTTCTTAACGAGTCGAACACGAGCTGTTCCCGAACAACGAGCCGTTCTGACAGCCCTAATTCTAAGTATATTTTATTTTCATTATTCCAGATTAGGCTACTGCAGGCAATTGTTATTTTATTTTTCTATTTTGGGCTGCAACAATTAAATAGAAGGGTACTTTTAATGGGGGGAATTTACAAACATAACACTCAAAACTCATTGCATTATAAATTTCACACCTAAACCTCATCTATCATTTCCTTGCATTTGCTCTGAAACTGAAGAAACGTTGCAGAGGGAGAAAAGGGATTTGAGAACCTGTAGGATTTCAAGTTGTCTTTGTTGCTGTTTGGCACCTGTTTAAATTCTGCTCATCCCCATTGGACATGCCAGCAAAGAATTTAGGTGTAAAATTTGAAATATGCATGTAAGTCCCTTTTTTTTTTTTTAATTCTTATAGAAGGAAATTATGAAAACAAGAGCAATCAGAGTGCTCTCTCTAGGGTTAGGGTTAGGGTTAGGGCTTGCCAACTTATGATGAAGCTCTTCTAGATGGAAGCTATTTAACTCTTAACATAAAATATTCATAATATTGTTTGGTAGAACTATTTCGCTCTCTTAGCATAAAATTAATATAAATGCATCACCATAAAAATGTTTACTTTGTAATCTACATAGCCGTCTTTATTTGCAACATCGTTCCTCCGATGAGCCCCACCGTTCTCATCACAAGGAGAAAAAATAGGGTCACCATAAAAATGTTTTGTAATCAACATAGCCGTCTTTATTTGCAACATCGTTCCTCCGATGAGCCCCAACGTTCTCATCGCAAGGAGAAAAAATATGATAAGCCAATGAGATGAAAGCAATCAGTGCCCCAACGTTCTCATCGCAAGGAGAAAAAATATGAAAGGTACGGCTGATAAGCCAATGAGATGAAAGCAATCAGTACAAGGGCTATGCATGGAAGTTCCTAATGGAGAAGAAAGACAAAGGAGGGTAAAAAAATGAAGCTTTGAGGAAGAATATGATTATATAGCGGGCAGAGATTTCCTGAGCATCACATGGTAGATTTAGGGATGGGAGAAAGAGCAGCCAACCATATCGTGGGATCACATGCCATTGTGGCAAAGGGAGGCCAATAGAAACCTCAAGGAAACTTAGTTATAAGGTGGTTGAGGTGCATGCATCGTGGGAAGTTGAAGTAGATTTTAGATCCTTACAACATTTAATTTTTATTCGATACGGAATTTTTTTTAGAAGTAATTTTTAACTTTTCAACATATCACTTTGAATCTTTTAATATTTTTAAAAAAATTGTGATGTGAGCCTCTGAAATAACATTGCCAAAGATGTTAAACGGATTTAATTGGATTTATAATTTAAATGAGTCGAACATTATTCTAAGTTTAGCACCATCTAGATTCGATAAATTTAGATTTAGCAGATTTACTAAATCTTATTTAAATAAAACACTATTGTTGCTGAATTATTTCCAAATCATTGCCTAATTTATTTATTTTTTTTATAAGGGAAAGGTGAAAGGAAAGGGAGCGATTTGTTAGATCTTTAGTTCTTAGAAATTATTATTATAAGGAAAAAAATAAATTACTTATCATTTTCTACAATATGTATTTTTTCCACAAAACTAAATTAGTTAGCACATGATAATAATTATTATGTAATCATTTTATTTCAACATTTATTTTTTTTATTTCAGCAACATATTAAGCATTTTATGGCCATCATTCTTTATCCTTTGGTCAAAATCTCTAAATTTTCAACTGCATATATGTACACACTTTGCTGTTCTATTTTATTTTAAAATAAAAGTTAATAGCATGCCTTTATTTTAAAATTTGGCCAGTAGTGTCTTTATACTTAAAAAATGATTGATTGTGCTTTTGCTTTAAAACATAGATGATTTTAGGCCTTCACTTTTAAAAATGACCTACAATGTCCATTGATTCTTAAACGTGTCGAAAAGTGTGCCTAATTTTTTTTTTAAAATTTGTTCTGGTTGATGTTGAATTATTAGATTTTGAATACTTTATTTGCTTCACATATATTTTATGTTATGAATATTTGATTGATAATTTTAAATTATTTGCAATGATATTAAGACATTTTAGTTAAATTTTGATAAATGAATCGCTATTTAAAGAGAAAAAACGAGTGATTAAGAATATTTGTACTTTTTATATATAATGAGTTTGCCCCCCTCTAAAAAAAAGTTGGTTCTGCCCTTGTAGTGAATCACCAGATAACTTCTATTGTCCCAAATATTTTTACACGCTAAAGGATGCATATAAATTTCTTTTAAGAAATTGATCTCTTTTGAATTAATCTCAAAATACAATGAGAATTAGGCTATAGAATGAGAAATTTAAAATAAAATAGACAAATGGTGGGTAAAAAAGTATTTGAGAATTCAAATATAATATTCCTCAATCAAGCATAAACTCACTACTCAAAGAGCTCTTTGTCACCTCCCAAAAGAGCTCTTATGGGTGGTGGGCAGCCCAGGACTTAAATACTGTTTTTCGGTCCTACACCTAGCCGATGTGGGACTATTTGTCCGTGACATTCTCCTCCACCCAATCACGTGACGCCCTCGTCACGGATCGGCTTCACCGAGGGTCCCACTGGACCATGGAGAGTCCACACACCTGGCAGGCAGTAATCTGCTCTGATACCACTTGTCACCTCCCAAAAGAACTGCTTTAAGTCCTGGGCTGCCCACCACCCATAAGGGCTCTTTTGGGAGGTGACAAGTGGTATCAAAGCATTCTAGTATTCAAGTGCTAATTATTCCTTTCTCTCTATTATTCTTCTTAAGAGTGTTTGGGGCTCATAAGTCCAGTGTTGTGAGGGGTAAGGCTGATTTAGTGCTAAGAAAGAGCGCTAAAGCCGCACGGGTGACTTGAGGAAAGTTAGTCCGTGACATCTTGCTCCCTTTTGGTCATTATCCTGCCTGTATTCTCTACCATTCTTAACCTCATGGAATATCTGGATTCCTCACAAACTCATGCTTTAAAACATTACATTTTTAAAATATAAAAAACTTAAAAAATAGTGAAAAATATATTCAACTTCTAGTGAAGGGATGATTTCATTTGTTGCCCTTAACTCTCTCACCTCCTTGTCTTAATAGAGTCTTTCTCGCTCTATAAATTTCTATTTTACCCCTTTTCTTTTAACCTGTGTCAGCTAAATATTGACTCAATACTCAAATCCAACTGCTCTTTCATCCTCGTCCTCCTCTCTCTCTCTCTCCCCTCTCAGGTATCTTACTCTTTACTCATCAAAATCCCTGACTGGCTACCCTATTGGCAAGAGACATATTAAAGTTATGATTAAAGTTTGAAAACTTGAAGGTTGTCTTAATATTTTAACTCTGAATGACGATTTATTTCTCTTTATGTTTACTTAAAAAACATATTTTCAATTGGCATGGATGTGAGGTCCATGATTCTTTTGAGACAAACAGTTCATCTTATAAAAATAGTCAATAGATTTCACACCTATTACAGAGAGATTCTCACCCATCTATATATAGTTAAAGTTTTTTAAACTTCTCATTCTGTTGTTGAAGCCCTTTTAAAATCTTGTAGTTTGTTAGCTAAATCAATAATTTATTAGTAGTATACTCCCTCATTAACAATAGGATAAATGGAGTTTTTCTAAAGCATATGCTCATGTCTCCAACATCTCTCTTTTTTAGCTTAATAATTACTTCAACCTTAATGGAAAGAAACAATCATTATGGGTGATTTATGATTGCAAAACTTTCACCTTATTTGTGTTGCACTTCTATTTATTATTCATTTGAACTTTTCCTCATAGCATCCAATCCAAAACTTCATCTTCCCTTCCCTTCAATTC